GCTCTCGGCATCCCCCCCCCCCCCCCCCGTCCAATCCGCGCCTGGTAACCCTAGTTCCAAACGGGATGGCTGGGTGATTCCTGAGAACCGTGAAATGAGATTATTGATCTAGACTCTAAATTGATCTAGATGCTGGGGGAGGGAGGAGTAGTACAACAGGTGTGCAGAGAACGTCCAGAGTCTCTAGCATGCTCACAGGGGGTACGTCTACATAATGTATTCTCCACCCCAGGAAATAAGGACCGACGAGCAAGTTTGTCCCAAGCCAATCAGCATAATAGTATGCGGGATGACCAGTACGCTATGTGCCATCCCACCGCGATTAAAAATATCGTAGAGGAAATATTGTTAGTAATTTATTTACTATTTCAGGTCTGTGTGTGCCTTTCTCCATCAAACGAAGGATACTCACTTTCTTGGAAACAAAAAGGGGTGTCAAAATCGTTTATTTATATTACATCAATTGAGAAACAAGAGAGCCTGGCAAAATACAGTATGTGTTCATTTTGGTGGGAAAGTAAAGCTTAGTTATAATTTCTTCCCTTTACCCCCAGGGCTATAAAGTGTTCATAAACATTTCATGCAGCAAAAAAGAGTTATACAATAAAATCTAATCTTGTGCTCAGGATAACTTGTATGTGAAGTCTAAAAATAGTTATTTACAGAGATAACTAGAAGGATTTGTGTTCCCGATGTTATTTATTACTGGAGTGGTACAGCTTAGAGGAAATCCACTATGATCCGGCATTTAACTTCCAATGATGCGCATTTCCTGGAACCTATAGTTGCATTTGACACTTTATTCATTAGTTCTTATGTGTTGACTTTATCTAATTGCACTGAATGTAAATGATTATCCGTCACCTGTTATAAAACGTGTATCTCTCTCATATCGCCAGCAGGGGAGTCCAGAACAACTATGGAGGTTGTTCTTTGAAACAAGACGGAGCAGAAGTTCAAAGGACAGCTTTATTTTCATTTTCAGTGCTCTAAAATTCACCGTGCTGTCTATGTCATGAAGTGGAGCTTTGAAATGTTTCTTTAGAAGAAAAGAGCTCTTTTGCGCTGCTTTGATATGCGCATTTGAAAGGTTATCTGCAATTATCAGGATTTCTTTCGGATAAATGACAGACAGTATTTCAAGTGTCTAAAACAGACTGAGGTCGAGTTATAAACACATGTAATTGAAGGAATTTCTTTAGTAACTTTGCCTAATTTATTATTCCCAACGATTGATATCTTAGGTCTCAGGGCAAGGTGGATCGTCCTCCACCTCCATATAATAACAAAGTGGCATATTATATGTATTATATATGCATCTCTCTTCCCTATTGGAAAGTGTATTACCCTAAATTTAAAATGTATCTTAAACTCCCACCTTAAAGTTCCTGGCGATTTGAGAGAGGCGAGCGGGTTTGCTACGGCTATACAAACACCAGCCGCACTTTAGCTTTGAGGACGTAAGGCAATTACAGCGCAGCAGACACATTGCTGAGGAAAAATCTGCACCGAAGCTGGATACAACACTGTCCGCGAGTCTTCTCAGCGGTGGAGTCGGGAGAAAAGTTGGCGTGAGACCGTGCTAGTCTGGTGCCCCTTCTGGAACACACGTTGTGTGTGGAAGCCCGTCAGGGGATTTCCAGCTGTGTTGCGGGTGGCGAGTGTGTGTTGGCAAACACATGAGCATCCTCTCTGCTCGCAGCTGTCGAGTCCAAGCGCCTTCCCCAAATTCAGCACCAGAGGCTTGGACAGTTCCCGGGGCCGTAGCGTTTCCTCGGCTGCCTTCCTATAGCTTTGTCCCAGTCCCCAGGCGGCTGGTTAATCTTACAACTACATTTATACCCGGGGGAGCAGGAGGCGATCGGTGTTGGCAAGTCACACAATGCACCAGCCTTCCACTTCCAACAAGTGTCGAGGAGTTTGTGCTCTGGAGCAGCTGAACCGAAAGATAGACTGATATTCACCCCACCCCGGGAAATGTGTCCTAGAGCTGAATGGCTCTCTCCTCTTCCCAGGCAAGAGTGTAGCCCACCGCTGCTTCTCCTTCTTCCGATGACAAGGAGAAGCTGCTATTTTTTGCACGATTCTTCCTTGGCTGCAGGAGCCTCTTGCGGCTGAGATGAGAAATACTTCTTAGCAAACACTTGGGAGAGGGGCTTTGCACGTTCCTTTTCGGATCCCGAGATAACAGAATCCCCCAGCTGCTGTCTGGAAGGCTGCGGCAAGTGCTCACCAGGAAGGAGGGGAGGGGGAGTGTGTACAGACAGTTTTTAAATTGGGAGTTTTGGTAAGGAATCCTGCCGTCAATTGGTGTGCAGACTGTCACAAGCCGAATGAAGACGAGTCCCCAGCTATTAAGGGATCATCTAGTCCGCAGGAGGTCAGCACTAGAAAAACCTGTAATCAAACAAAACGTGGTTTCTTGGCCCATAATGCAAGCATGTGTCAACGGCCCACTTCATCTTGAGTGGCCCTTGTATTTAGTGTGAGAAGTTAGCACAACTTCTATTTGTGCCGCCTTGTATTTCACTGTGACACGCCTAGTTGTCTTTCTCAGGCCTGAAGAAGAAAACGGGAAAAACTCTTTCTCACTAGCAGAGGTTGTCCCCATAAAAGATATTACCTCTCCCTCCCTGTTCCCCCATCTCTGTAATGTCCTGGAGATTTGTATAGCCGGGCATCACCACCAAACAATGTTGAAAGTAGCTCCTCTCTTTTCCTGCCAGTACAGCTTTCATCTTATAGAGGAACTCCTCTGGTGTCATATGCCTCTTATAGAAAAGAGTGTAGTGCTAGTTTCAGGGTGCAGTTTGTTTCTATAACCAGCTGCTGCTTTGATTCACTCCCATCACTCCATCAGAATCAATCCAGGTAGTACCACCTAATGCTGGAGTTAAACAGTCCCTTACTTCCCTCCCCATCCTTTACACTGAACAAGCCAGCTATCCCTGCCCACCCTCCCCATCCCCATTCTATTGTCTCTTCCATCCACTTCTCATGCTGTCCCAAATGCAATTCTAAAGTCCTTGATGGAGAGACCCATCTTCAGTCATAAGTACCCTTAAAAGTTTTGTGGGCATAGCTATGGTGGTTCTGGGTGTGATTTTTATCAACCTAGCTATGCCAGCCAAAGCTCTGATATAAAAGCATAAAAGCACTTTTGCCAGTATATCATGTTTTGTTCCCTGAGCTAGAATAAGGCAAAAAGCACTTTTATGCCTGTATAATATGTCTACTCTAAGGGTATGTTTACACAGGGCCAAAGTCGAATTCAGCTACACAACTTCAGCTATGTCAACACTCTTACTTTGACTTCCCTTATTTCTCATGAATGAGGGTTACCATGAGTCAGAGTAAGAAGTCTTCCAGCTCAATATTATTTCAAAACAAAGTCTTGTAGTGTAGATGTGCACAATGTTATTTCAGAATAACGTCAGTTATTCCAAAATTATGATGCTGTGTACAGTGTTTTATTGGTATTTTAGAGTGTTTTATTGGTATTTACTGGCAAAACCCTCCTAATACAGATACAGTATTCACCAGACAGCTCAATGAGGCACAGATCCTGATTGCAGCCTCTGGGCATTGTTATGGTAATACAAATAATAACAGTGCTGCAAGTCCTTGCACATTATTTATGTTGCATTGAAATACACATGTATATGGATCATTTACAGTTCCACTGCAGCAGCCTCAAGGGATGCTATCAAAGAAAGCAGAGCCCTCTCTTGCACATCTGTCATACTATATACTGTGGGTCTGTGGTGAAAAAAAATTCCTTCCTAGTATTCACAAATGATTACCTTGCAACCTGAAGAGAGAATTGATTGCTCTTGTTAGGTGAGTGTGTAATGTTACAAGTGTTATAAGTTACCATTAAATCAGCCAGCTCTCTCAAAGCTCCCCCCTATCTTTAACTGAATGGCCTCCTGTGGCAATGAATTACAGAACTCAGCTATAACTTCATAAAGCTGTATTACCCATCCTTCATTCTAAACTTATTGTAAGCAAGAGTCCCTTTAATTCTGTAACAGAGGAGGGGAGACCTGATCCAATACCAACCAACATTTAAGGGAGTCTCTCTATTGCTGCCAATGTATTTTGGTTCAGGACCAAAAGAAGTAAATGAGCATTTTTACTCCACTGCTCATAACACTAACATTCTCAGTCTTGTTCATGCTTCCCCCCCCAATACTGATACCCTTTTCAATGTATTTTGGTTCAGGACCAAAAGAAGTAAATGAGCATTTTTACTCCACTGCTCATAACACTAACATTCTCAGTCTTGTTCATGCTTCCAGATACTGATACCCTTTTATTTCTACATTTAACTACCCCATTTACCTTCTCTGGATCTAGTCTGCCTTTGCAGATAGACGAACTGAACCTGGGATCTCTGGAGCTGCTGGGATGAGCCTTTACAGTTAGAGCTAAGAGACAGCTGCCTCACAGCTAAGGGTACAGAGCAAATTCATTTTCTCATACTGTAAGTGGCCTAAGGCTATGTCAAGACTGCAAAGAAAAGTCAGAAAAAGATATGCAAATTGTGAACCGCAATTTGCTTATCTTTTCTCGCTTTTCTTTTCGGAAGAGGCTTTTCTGAAATTTGGCCCATCTACACAGGGCCAAATTTTGGAAAAACCTCCTCTTTCAGAACGTCCCTTATTTCTCATACAATGAGGAATACAGGGATGCCGAAAGAATGTGTCCACTTCTTCAGAAACTGTTCCAAAAAAAGTGGACGTGTTCCTTGGACATGGCAGAGCTTTTCTGGGATACCGGAAGTATCCCAGAAAAGCTCTGCAGTGTAGACATAGCCTTCGTGTCACTACATGAGACAGTACACCACACCCAATAGGTGTGTGGGTTACATACTTCCTCTAGCTCAGAAGCCCACTGAGCTTCAGAGTAATCCCAGTTGAAATCCTGGAGGAGCCTCCACTTAGGGGAATCAAGCTTGGAGCTTAGTGAATGAGCCTACAGCTTGAGGTAAAAACTGGTTGGATGTGACCTAAGGCTGTAGAGCAAACTCAATCTCTCTCTCTATGGCTGTGTCCAGACTCGGGGTTTTTTTAAAAAAAAGTAGCCTGCGTCTAGACTGCAGCCACGTTCTTTCGAAATTAAACTGAAAGAATGCGGCTTTTCTTTCAACGGCGGTAAATCTCATTTCACGAGGAAGAACGCCTTTTTTCAAAAGTGCTCTTTCGAAAAAAGGCATTCTTGAATGCCAACAGGGCTTTTTAGAAAGAGAGCATCCAGACTCACTAACTGCTTTCTTTCGAAAGTACTGCTTGCAGTCTAGATGCTCTTTTTCGAAAGAGGCTTGCAGTCTAGACATAGCCTATAAGTGATCTAAGTGCCACTATACAGGACAGGGAACCATACCCAGCAGGTGTGTGGGTTACACTATCATCAATTGAAGTGACCATTATTAAAATCAAGATGCCAACAAAAAGGAAAATTATTGTTTTTTTAATAACACAGTAATTATACATTTAATATAATAAAGTATGTCTCTTTGGAATTTACCTTTAACTGCTGTTCCATACATTGCATTTTTGTTAAATTACCAATAAAAAGATGCCAAATCTTTAATCTTAGCTAATGAGGTCCAAACATGATGCTATAGCATCTCACCACCTCTCAGTCTTGTAATGTCTTTAGTCTCAGAGCCCCCTTGCAAAGGATAAAAGTGATGTTGTTTCCATTTCACAGTCAGGAACCTGAGACACAAAAGAGACTTGTCCAGAATTCATAGAGGAGTGGTCCACAAAGTTTTCAGGGTCATTTCTCCTCTTTTGTTTGCCCCCCCCCCCACCTGAGTTGGGGTCAGGGCTCCCAGGGACAGATGTGGATGGGATAAGGAGCTGCAGCTGTGGCCAGGCTGGGGGTCAGGGTCAGGGTCAGGAATGAAGCTATAGCCACAGGCTTAGACAGGGGCTGAGCTGGGCTGGGCTGGCCTAGGGGGATGGAGGCCAGGACAAGAATCAGAGTCTAGCAAGATGCAGAGTCACCACTTGGGTGTTGTCAGGTCCTATACTAGTAGGGGGGCACAGCTGAGATCAGAGTGGAGTTGGATGGTGCTCCCTTGCCCATGGGGCCTGCTGCACACCCCAAGTGTTCCTTCCTGCCCCCAGAAGGCAGTGAACCCCATGGTTTGGGGATCTCTGAGATGGAAAAAATCTAGAAAAGATGAAGTAACAGAGCCCTCTTCTCCAGAGCCCCAAGCTTGTGTTTTAACCACTGTACCATCACAGCCCATCAACATTAATGGGAAGTCTGAGCTATTTTTTCCAGTGTGTATCATTTTAAATTTGCCAAAGTTTAAATTTCACCTGTCATTGTTCTGTCTAATACGCACAAATCTATCTGGGGGTTCTTGTGATTCTTCAAACTTTTACCTGATTGAAGCAAATGACTTAGCAGCAACCATAAACTTTACTAATTTTCTTTGTATTTTGTATTCAGCCACTAATCATTGAAACATCATTGTGGGCAGTCTCTGTTAATTTCTCTTTCTCCATATAGTGTGGCTATTAATTGCCTCTGTCCTTGCACATATTCTCTTTTCAATGTACAAGATTTTTTCCTCGGACACAAAGGTATTTCCTCCCCCACTCCCTCCAGTATTCTAATATTAAATGCCACTTTACCTTTCTCTAGATGTAAATCCTCTCTAAAACATAAATAGACCAGGGGAATGCAATTCACATCCACCCAACTCTATCTTTTACACATCCAGCAAACATCTATAAACTCTATAGTAACAAGAAGCCAGACAAGGGCTCAATCCTGCAAACATTTGATCTCTTGAGAAACTATATGCATGTCACTAGTTACATCAAGGTCAAGGAGACAATTCAGATGAGGAAATTTACTCAAGAGAGGTAGGTGTCTGCACTAAATTTAGGCATGCAACCCTAAAAGGGTAGGTGATCATTCTAGAACAATAGTGAGCAGCTCAAGAAAGGGTCATTTAAAAATAATTATCTTTCACTGGGCCTCTTTTTATAACATAAGAATTAACAAACCAAAACGAAAAGATTTCTTTGGACTCCACTTGTTCCTGCATAGGAACAGCCCACATAAAGGAGAGGAAACCCTGGAGTTTTCACTCACTGAATATCCTAGTGAATCTCCCATTCCTTCTGATCCTAGATGGAGTAGAGCAACCTCATTAAAAATATTGGACACTGGAGAGAGACTGCATGAGACCAAACTGAAAGAAATACAAAGGGGAAAAATGGGGGGCCCATATCCCTTTAATTGTACATCTTCCCTCCCCACTGGTTGCATCCAGATGCTGAAATAAAGGGATCCCATAAATGCATGAAGTTTGCAAGAGATAAGAACTGGTCACAAAAACTATTTTATCTTCTCAGGTAAGATTCTGCAGAGCACACAGCAGAGCAGGACATTGACACTTGGTCTCCGGAGTTTCAGGGAACTACCCTAGCCACTAGACCATCTTCCTCACTACTGTTTTTCGGACAGCTTCCACTCTGCTCTTTGGCTTTATTGGCTCAGGGAGAACACAGTTCTTTGGCTCCTCCCGGAACCTCCCAAAAGACGTGGTCCTACAACATGGGTGGGAAAGCAGCAAAAATTATTACATCTTTTATTTATAATCTTCTGTTTCCTTTTCAAAGTTGTTAGGGAGGTGAAATGGAAGAGAGGCCAGGAAGAAGTCAGAGAGTCCCAAACACTTCTCCAGTACTTGGCCTGTCACGTACCTCTCTATGGAGTAGAATCCTTATAAAGGATTTGCCAGGAATTGGTGGGGAAGGGAGAGCCCTGCAGTATATATTCTGCACAGGCTCCCCAGCACACACAGATTCAGAGTAGATTCAGGGCCTGATTCTGCACACATTGACATATCCTGATGCATATTCAATAGCTCTACTGGCACCAGAGATAGCGCTTCTATGACCAACATCACTTGTGTGTGTTTGCTGAAAAATTTAGTATGACAAAGGTTTTCCAAACCATTAAGCTAAAAACGGATGACATTTTGCAGCCAAGTACTGAATGCATTTTTTTATTTAAACTTTAAGATCAAATTACAAAAGCTACTGGAGCAAGGGAGCAGTCATGCCAGGCGTTTAAGGAAAAAGGTGAAAACTTAAATTACACTTTCTCATTCATTGTTGAAGCAAAACACAATGACAGCAGCAAGGAAGTAATAAAGAAAAGTTTCAGGCAAAGACCAAAATTCTTGCATTGTCTCTGAAAACCCTCGCTATCACATGTAACTTGCATTCTTTATCACCTTTTTTTGTGTTGATAGATAATTTGGGATCTCTTGCTATTGTGAGTAAGATATAATCATTATTTCAGAAGCATCTTTTTCATACATCATCTTCAATGGAAGATGTTGTCCAAACTCCCTGAATTTGTTACCTTAATGAATGTGTATATTAAGGACTTTAATGTTTTATCTGCATGGTATGTTTTTAGTTTATTTTCAAGATAATTTTGTGTAATGTATGCCTGATTTTTGCAATAAAAAATTAGAATTACAGGAGAAAAATGTAGTTGGAGTATGAAAAAACTGACCTTTCCTCCTAAGGTAAGATTTTACAACTTTTATTTACATTGAATAACACCTTGCTCCTGAAGCAGTCCCATATCTGTGACCCAGATTCTTGGCTCTGTGTGTGTGTGTGTGTGTGTGAATCAGCAAAGTTCCATTCAGTACTAGGTACTGTGTCAAATTTCCACTTGCTGAGAATCTGAAGTGATGGAATTATTTGTGAAATAAGATGCTATTTGGAGAGAGTAAGGGTGATGGAATGTGACCCTATAAGAGATAATACTCTATTTACCACATACATTACCCACAGTACCCTATCAGATGACAATAATGGAGCATTTCTGTAAAATACAGGATATGCCTATGTATGTATAACTGTACATTGGACATATAAAAACTACAGATATGTAATACGCTTGAACAGTTAAAAATATAACTTATTTTATTTACAAACTATCAATGCAAGATACCATGTGCCACAGAAGCCATGTTCAATGCCCGCTCTTCTGTTCTTCTAAAAAGATCTGTGGCTGTAATAATTCATGTCAATGTCTCAGAAATATCTGAGGTTACATGTAGAAACAATCAAGGCAATATTATTTGTACATATTATTAAACATGCAAAAACTTCCTGAAGAATATTGCCCAAGAATAGAAAGTCTTCTGGCCTTCATATTCTCCATGGTAGTGTTTGCTTTATTAGTATGGCTCACAAGTGATTTTGGAGTCCTTCAGTTTATTTTGGAGAAGTAGCATCTCTAATAACAGGTTCCCTATTCAAATACGTAGCCCAATAGACCAAGTTAAAAGTTCCAAATAACACTGGAAAAACTATTCGGGACATTTTGTCAATCTTACTGATGCTGTTATAAGTCTTTTTGCTTTCAGCAGGCTTTTCTTCAGCAGATTTCACTGCAACAGTAGTAGAGCTTGAGATGACTGATGGGGCTGAGTCCTTTGGTATGTTTGGTGGTGGGCCTGTCTTTCCAGCACTGTAAGCATTAATTGATTTGTTTCCTAGTAATTCACGCTCTTTTCTCTGAAATATAAATCAGGAAACACCATTTAAGGTAGAAGGCAGGTGTAAATGTTCTCAAGTGTAAACAAAAATTTCAGCATAATAATCAATTATGCAAACTGTTCACTACTTGTTCCTGTTTCAAATCCCAACTATGTATGTCCTGAGCTTCAAGCCCTTGTTCACCCAAACCTTCCACTGATATCAGTGAACACTGAGCAAGGACTGCAGGATCAGGTCCTGGATTAGCATGAAAATTAGCAAAATCCTTTACTGATGTGATCCTCGCCCTGGGTCAGTGCTTAATTTTCATCAGGGCTGAGCCCTGGTACCTCTAGACTTGCCATGTCAGTTAAGGAAGTAAAAAAGTTCATTTAGCCCTGACACTGAATTGCTTGAATCCTGACACCTTTCTCATTACAAGTTAAGCAATACCCTGGGTTTGCATAAATGAATGTAAAAGCCTTGAGAAAGAAACATTTAGCTACTGCTGTTATCCCAGTGTTTCAGGATGGCTAACAAATTACTAACATCACATCACCAACAAAAAAAAATCAACATGTGAAAAGGCCTGGGATCCCTTGTAAGATTTTGTCTTGATATTTAGTTATTTCACATGGGATTCATGTAACGTGTATTTGCCTGCAAATATAAAGTTGCTTTATGAGATTGTTTGATAAAACTCATTAGACTAGCCCTTATTATTGACAATAGTCACCAAAGAGCCCACTGAAGTCCTGATGCTTATACATGTAACTTTCACATGGGAGTACTGTAGTTTTAGTGAAGTTGATCAGATTATTCATGTGAATAATGTTAGGCAAGTAAGCATTCAATAGTCTAAGTGTTTGCACACAGGGCCTACTTTTGTAATAATACTGGGGATACTGCAGTTCAAAAGTTCATGGTTTCATGCTGTATTTTTTGTTTGTATTGCTTTTATGGCGATTGATGTGGGGTCCTGATTTACTGCACTCAGTGCAGGCTTTCCTATTCACTCCAGTAACAACAGGATTGGACTGCCTAGATTCATTTGGTGCTGTATAATTGTTTAAATCCTTAATTTCAATGAACAAAATCCATAGCAATTAGAGCTATTAAAGCTATAATTGTTTTTGTTTGTTTGTTTTAGTGTCTGAACTGAAGGAAAAACATTGTTTCAGGTTGATGCAAAAAAGGGGTGAGGGGTTATACAGGGTGTATCTCCCTAGTCCAGCATCCTTAGGACTTGATCCGCCTCTAACCAGAGAATTTGACAGATCAGGGCAAGTTAATTCTGGTCTCTTTGCTGCCACTGGCTGCAGGTTTCTACTCTGCTGGTAGCAGAGGGGCCAGCATTGACTAAGCAAGAACTGGGGCATGGTGCTCAGGGAAAAGCCAGGATGGCTCTGGAGCCCTATGGCTGGGGGCCAGGAACACAACCCCATGGGAGGACAACAAGCCTCTTCCTCTGAGCATCCCCCATTCCCACTCTTCCCCTCCTTTCTTCTCTCCCTCCCTGAGCTTGAGCACCACACATGGGCTATTTGCAGCATTGGAAGCAATGGGATTTTAGGGGAGGAGTTGTTGAATGCAGGGCCTGGCTTTTCTTTGTGAGTGCTCTGGCCTGGGAGCAGCCACAGAGATACTGGATCACAGATGATGCTGGATTATAGAACTCTGGGACATGTCCATTAAACCTGTATCAGTGAAAAGGGGAAACAAAAGTTTTGGGTTTGTGATGGGCTGGACTAGGCCCCAACATCCCCTGACAGGAGGGGTGGAGTAGAGGTCCTCCAGACACTATAGAGTGGCTGTGTCTGCCGCAGCCAATCAGGACCCAGCAGAGAGGTATAAAAGACGCTGCAGGGCTGGGGCTTGGCATTTCCTTTCAGGAGCTGGACCCATCCAGGTCTATACCCTGTCTGGGTGATCAGCACTATGACTAGCTTCCACTGTGAGCTGAGCCTAGATCTGGGTAAGACTCAGAGGCCAAAGACCAGCCACAAGCAGAGACTTACTAGTACCGTGAACAGGGTTAATCAGGCCCTGGTTCCAGGACTTTTGAGGGAGACCGGACAACCAGACAAGGACACTGCTCAGCGTCACTTGGCCGCAGTGGGGCGCTCACCAGCGGGTGAACCCGTTACAGGGATATGTTCAACCTTTTTAAAAAATTAAGCACATTTTGAAATGAAAGATGGTTTCAAAATGAAAATTCAGCATGCTTGCTTTGAAGATGCTGAAATTGAGTGTTTTTTCAGCTGAAGCTCTTTGTGAATTCAGAATGAATTTGTGAATAGTTTGGGTCAAGTTTTGCATTTTCAGGGAATAAACTATTTGTCCCAAAAGTTTTACCCAGCTCTGGCGGTGACATACATTTAAGTCCCTCTCAGTCATCCTTCCAAGCACAGATCAGATCATTTTCATGGCCAAGATGAATGTTTCCTATACTATCCCACAGCATAAGCCCTAAAAAAATTCAGTATGCCCAGCAAGTTATCATCTGAAGGTCAATGACATGAGCAAATTAAATACATGTTTGTAGAGCAGCAAATCGTACATCCAGTTACTTGTGCTGTAAAAGGTAATTGAATCTTATTCTAGGGATTCAAAAAGTTGTAAATTAAAAACCTTGATTTTTGCAGCTTCCAAAGCTTTTTTGCCATCCCATGCCCAGCTTCTCTTTGTAAAGTAGTTGACTGTGGCAAATTCAATCAGCGCAGAAAATACAAAGGCGTAACACACAGCTATAAACCAGTCCATTGCTGTCGCATAGGCCACTTTTGGCAAGGAGTTGCGGGCACTAATACTTAAAGTGGTCATGGTAAGAACTGTTGTTACTCCTTTAAAAAGAAAAAAAAAAGTTAAGTGAGACTTGGAATGTTGTGTGACTTCAGCCCTAATGCCTAAGCATGGAAATAGTTCTTTATATAGCATTTTAACAGTCTATGGTACTTTGGTTACCAAAAGATAAACAAAGTCCCTGCCCCGAGGACCTTATTTCTGACTTTTGGGGCACCCAGTTCATCTTTAATTTCTACATCTTTAAAGAATATTTTAAAATTTGTTTCGCTAAGGATTAGTGGTGTGAACCAAAATCTTACTTATTTAATTTTTTAAAATTAATTAATTCGCTTTCACAGACAGAACATTTATCGCAGCCCTCATTTATAAAAACATTACAAAAATCTGCTGTTCATGTACTGAAGAATTAATATAATCTTCAGACTTTCTATTACTTGGAGGGATATGTTTGTGTAAAGATCCATGCAAATCGTATAATCTTTTTTTTTTTTCTTCTGGCTCCCAGCCAATATAGAACATGGATTTGATAGAGCAACCAAACAGTTCAGACTATCACAAGTAGTAAAGAGAAACGTGGATGTCACTTTACTATAGAGGAACTAATAAACTAAACTAATTAGGAATAACTGTAGTCATAAAGCAGGATTTCAATATTTATTTTACCACATGGAGATAAAAAATACCCAACATAAAATTATTTTCGAGAATTCATTCCCAATAATTGTAAGTATCCCACTGCCACTGAAATTAATGATAAAACTGTTACTGAATTCATTCATGGATCCACCTTCCAGTTTATACTCAAAGGAATAAATTCGACTATCACTTATACCTTTTTAAATCCAGAAATTCCACAGATCTTACTGGATTTAAATGTAACAGAGAGGAATTAAGACTTCAATCCTTTGACCTCAAGGTATGTATTTTTTGTATTGTCCTGGGCCATATGTCACCATTGAATGTAAAGCAAAATGCCCAATTGATCTCAGGAAAGAGTTCTGTATAAATGTCAATAACAAGATTTGGCTCCCTGATATTCGTGGGGGAAACTGTCTATTGTACAAAACTGATTTTCCCCAGCTACTGTGTTTTTGTATTGCATCAGTCTTGGGTGTTTACTTTCTGTTTACAAGCAATCTTCTAGTGATAATTTGAGCTGTTTAGACATCTCAAAAGGATTTTACTTATTATATATTCTGTAATATGCATACAGTTTATAAATGAGTAATTATATTAATTTGTACTGATTATAATACCCCTATTATCATCAGTACAAATTAATTGCCACTAATTAACCTCTTTTATGATTCATCTAGATCAGCCCTGCACCTTGAATCACAGACACACTAAAACTTTTGAAGAGAAATCAGTGCTTTCATTTCTATGTCTAGAATATGTATTAACCCTCCACACCCTCCCTTCCCCCTCCATGCTATCTACTAGGTTTGTTTGATCTAAATTATCTGCCTTTTTTCCTGATTGAAAAAATAAATACATACAGATTTGATTTCTTCTTCCCTCTTCTATCACTAACCCTCATTTAATTCTTGTGTAATTTTCATCAGAATTGAACTAAAGGAGTTCTAAGCATGATAGGAAGAAAGCCGATGAGTTAAATTAGTTCAGAACTAGGGGGAAATAGAAATCACCAGGAACAGAAATAAATCATAGTAAATTATTATTTCTTTACACAAAGTCACCCCTTTGAGTAAGACAATATTTTTATAATGACCACAAAGAAGTGAAGTACTCACCAAAGACAGTTCTAGCAGGGACGGATTCTCTGTTTAGCCAAAAGGACACTTGTGATAAGATCACGGTCATAACACATGGAAGGTACGTCTGGATGACAAAATAACCAATCTTTCTTTTCAGGTGAAAATGTGCTGTCATAATAGTGTATTCACCTAGGAGGAGAAAAATGCAGTGGTGGGGAAAAGTCAGACCATGCCTAAAATTGATGGATCCTGCTGTTTTCTGTGCATACGTTCCCAAAATCCACCACGTGCTGGGAGAAAACATGCCGCCATTTCCACTGCACCAAAAATGCCTGATCTTCCAGAGAGCCTAGTTCTGGCAATCATGGAAAAATCAGAATTTGAAACATACACCCTCCTGATGTTTGTACCTATGCCTCCAAAATGACACTGAATTATACACAATGAACTTCTCCTACTGCATTAAAATAGTTTTAGAACTTGGCATGTCTCAATGCACCATGGCTTCAGAGATTTGTATAGGTGACATGAGTTCTGTTAGCTCTGGCCAATATTTGATTTGTGGGCCCCAAATTTCACCATCAAAATAAACAGTACATCCAACTGGTCCTAGGGCATCAAATAGTTCCACAACCAACACATCCCAGCAGAAAGTACAATGCTGCAAAACCCCAGATTTGGTATCAGGATCCAGCCTGACTGTGACAATTTTTGCTGCCAAACCCCCAGATATCTACAGGGATATCTAAGGGAACATATCCAGAAATTCCTACTGTACTGAACATGTGTAAATTATAGCACGTTCCAGTGATGCAGAATTCCAAAACCTGGATGTAGAACATGGGCCCCACTGAAACACCAACCCACTATCAGAGAATACTTCCTACCATTCCTAGAGCACCACACAATCCAGCAGGCTCAAGCACCAGGTCATCAAGTTCAGTCCCCAGGACTAAGCACTATCTAGATTACCCCTGATAGATGCCTATCTATCCTGCTCTTAAGTATCTCCAGTTATGGAGATTCCACAACCTCCCTAGGCAATTTATTCCAGTATTTAACCACCCTGACAGTTAGGAAGTTTCTTTTAAGGTTCAAACTAAGTCTCCCTCACTGCAATTTAATTTGCTTGATTCTGCTTTGAGTAGGGCTGAATACCTCCTGAGGTCTCTTCCAATGCTAATCTTCTATGATTTTTTGATGCTATGACTTACAAACACAGTCACAATAGGAGATATAGCACAGCTGCAAAAAGAATTGCAATTAATCCTCAAAAACAACACGAGATAAACCCTAGGTAAATGTAAAGACTTTTCAGACTAGATGCATATAATGTAGGAAAGATGACAGTGCAAAAGTTGATTGTTCAATTAGAGATGTGAATGGTTAACCAGTAAGCATCACCCTGAACGAATGATGCTTATGGGTTCCTGTCAATGCTGTTCCCCACTCTGGCACTCCGAGTGCAGAAGGTGGGGACCTGCAAGATACCTTAAAAATAGCTTGCCTCTATAGGCTTCTGCTTAAAAGTTTCCTAAGATCACAGATTTCCTGACCTGGGGGGATAGGTTGCCACCACCAAGTGAAAAACCCCTTTCTTCTTGAATCCAGGAAGAAAGCACTTTTCTGGGGGGGAGGTACCCCAACATCTTCTAATACAAAAGAGTTTGAATAAAAAGAGGAAACAAACTGTAATCTCTGATAGATGACCTCTCAGTTCCTGTTCAGGAACATTTTAACCTGTCCAGGCACTCATTAATGGATCTAAAAGTGTCTATACTATTACAAAGCAATTGCAAAAAACAGCTGCAAAGAGAAGCTGCAGAAGTTGCCTTCATCTGCAAATCTGACACCTTTAATCAAGGTCTGAATGGGCCGCTACATTCAACACCCAAATGACATCAAAAGTATTGAGAACTTCCAGCCTACACTATTAGCCTCATTTAGCATGGACACTGTAAGGCTATGTCTAGACTGCTGCTTTTTATCAGAAAAAGGTATGCAAATTACACTCCATAATTTGCGTCTCTTTTTCAGATAGTTTTGTCGGAAGAGACTTTTCCAAAATTTTGCCCGCCTATGGTAGGCCAAATTTTGGGAAAACCTCCTCTTTCAGAAGGACCCTTCTTCCTCGTGGCATGAGGAAGACAGGGCTTCTGAAAGTGCGCGTCTGCTCAGTCACAAAAATGCCGGAAGAGGAGACGCGTTCCCTGAACATGGCAGATTTTTTCTGGGATACCTCGTATCCTGGAAAAACTCAGTAATCTAGACATAGCATAATTGACAAGGTTTTATCCTTCTCTTTCCCACCCCAGCCCATCTTTTTCTGTTACTTATTTATAACTCTGGCCCCCTTTTTCCATTCATCTGAAGAAGCAGGTTGTGCCCACAAAAGCTCATGATACTATCTACATAGTGCAGGACCATTTGCAGTTTTTTTTCCAGTTACAGACTAACACGGCCACCTCTCTAAGGGTACGTCTAGACTACATGCCTCTGTCGCCAGAGGCATGTAGATTAGGCTACCAGACATAGGAAAATGAAGCGGCGATTTAAATAATCGCCGCTTCATTTAAATTTACATGGCTGCCGTGCTGAGCCGACAAACAGCTGATCAGCTGTTTGTCAGTTCAGCGCGATAGTCTGGATGCGCGGGTGTCGACATCAAAGGTATTTGTCAGCCATCCAGGTATGCGTCCTGGGATGAGGTATACCTGGGTAGTCGACAAATACCTTTGATGTCGCCACCCACGTGTCCAGACTATCCCCCCCACACT